ACAGTGGTGTTTAATGAATGTACAGCAGGCTGCCTAATAGGGCATTGCCCTCTGTGTTGATTTCTACTTTTGCCCACCTGTGAAATGCTTGGCACACTTCATTAATGATTTCAAATACTATCATACCATGTCATCAAAGGGAATAGATAGCCAATGCACAGATTTTAGAAAAGTAATAGAAAGTCCCATATGTTTTATCCATTAATATTTCTTGTCTTCTACTTATATCTAATGATCTTAAGTGCTATCATTAGGGTGTCTGACCACTTCAGACTTATTGCTGCATAAATTTCAATCATATTTTCAAGATTCTTTTATGGCTTTTTACAGCCCCTGCTGACAGTGGGGGAATTAGATTAATAGAGTGATACTGAATCTTTAGGGTTTCACAAAATTTTTTTGATCTAATATGCATGCCCTCTAGTCACTTTTGGCAGTTCGAGTATATAAAATATAGTCACGTTCCATATAACAATGTTTTGGTCAATGACAGACCACATATATGAACATAGTCTCAAATGTTAGTACCATATAGCCTAGCTGTGTAGTAGGCTATGCCATGTAGGTTTGTGTAAGTACACTCTACGATGTTCACACATCGAAATCACCTAATGACTCATTTCTTAGAATGTATCCCATCATTAAATGACGCATGCCTGTACGAGAATAAAGTCCCTTGAAAATATTTCGCTGATGACAATTTTGAATAAAGATATGAGAATACCCATTTTGTTTTTGTTTTTGTGAGGAATATTGGCCCTGAGCTAACATCTGTTGCGAATCTTCCTCTATTTTGTATGTTGGACACTGCCACAGCATCACTTGATGAGTGGTGCGTGGGTCTGTGCCCAGGATGCAGGTCTACAAATCTCAGACTGCAGAACCAAACCACGTAAGCCTAACCATTATGTCACTGGGCCGGCTCTGATAACACCCATTTTGAAAACATCCTCCCGTTCTACCAAGGAGGAGGAGACATGCTTTTGTCTTAATTTTGCCTATAGTGAGGAAAATAAAGTCACACTGTAAACAATTGAATTAACACTTAGTGCAGTCCACCTGATACTTCCTCATCTCCACCACAGGGACATGGTAGCATTGCACATTCTGGCTTTCTTGTGGTTGGGGATGGGCAAGTCCTAGCCAATATGTATGCATGGTCTGGACACTGAGATTATCAGGGAATAAAAAGAAATGTGAAAGCTTTGGATTTAGTCTCTTCTGTCCAAATTATCTTCTTGTTAGAACTGAAAGATGCAAAATGCATTGTGATTTGGCCTGGAGAATGGAAGCCCTGTCATTTGGGAGCAAACTCCAAAACACATAAATTGAAACAATCTTTGTATTATTCATACTCTACAGGTTAATTCTTGTCTTATGTGGTTGGAGCAAGCCTTTGTTACCTGTATAGGTAATTTTCTTTATTTTCAGATGGTGATTTACTCCACGACTTAATGTGTGTTAGATGACATGTGGTTTACCATGGCATCTCATACATACTTTATGACCCTCTAAAATTCGTTTGTTTACTTACGTGTTTCCCATTGGACTCTGAAGTTCTGGAACACAAATGCTGTCTTCATGTTCTGTATCTCCTGTGCTTTAAATAAAGTAGTCCCATAACTTAAATTGTTGAAGGAATTATTGCACTGCTTAATTAACTGAGAAAGCAAAACTGAATTGATGAACAAGTATCAGCATTGGGATTGTTATAAAAGCTAGCTTATTTATTCTAGACTTGAGCCAGATTCTTTCTATGTTAACTTTTTACTTATAATTTAGCTCTTTACTTCTGTAGTTTAAAGCCATTTTCCATGGCTACTAAACTCAGATATAGCTTCAAGGAATCAGTTAGACTCATCTTTTCATTAAAAAACAATATTTTAAAAATTCAGGTCAACAGGGGAATGAAAGTACTAATAATGAGCCTCAGTGGACAAGTTCAGTACTCCAGAGCTGCTATTTCAAGGAAAACTCCAAGGGAATACATCAAAATGTGGAAAGATGTGATTAAGGATTTTCTCAGATTTTATCTTCCCCTATGTGGAATGCAAACATCAATGCTGAAGTATTTTATTCCTTTTTTATTTCCCATTTTGAAAATAGTATTGATATCTCTTAGAGCATAATAATGACACAATGAAGTGTTTACAAAATGAGTTGTCCCAATTATTATTTGATAATGCAGAATATTCACTATCAAATATTAAAATTATCCATCATTTTTCTTTATTTTCCAGAGGTTTTCATGCCATCCTACCACCCTCATCTTTCTCTGTTTATCTCTTCTCTTATCCCTTCTTTGTAAGAAGAAGAAATGTATGAGGAAGGATTATGGACAGACCCTCTGAGTTTCAGGGGCTTTGTATTGGGCCAATCATAGGCAAATAAGATACAAATATTGAAGGAGAGATTTTTAAAAGTTTAGTTTTAGACATACAAAGTTTGATGTAATAGCTTTATCTCCAAATGGAAATATCTGACAAACTAAAGTCAGCAAGGATTGAACAAAGAAGGCAGGAACTTCATAGATAGGAAGAGAAGGCATTTGTTTAGGAATAATATGTGATATTATGAGTATGGATCAAAAGCCAGGACCCTCAAAAAGTAAGTAAACATAATGGAAATCACAAAGGTCTGTAGCAGAGAGAACATTCTAAGGAAATCAGACCAAGATTTATATATGTGGATTACTATAGGATTAAGGCAATATTTTTCCTTGAAGAATCCATATCTTAATGAGGAGCAGAGGAGTAAACAGATGGGCTGATATAGTGTGATGAAGCATTTGGAATCTACATCAGGTGAGGGTAGAGCAGATAGCTACCTTTCATAATCAATGGAAAAATAAATTTTTTAAAACAATCCCACATTTGACATGTAAAGAACACATACTTATACAAAAATCTGTGCTTTATTTCAATTATTATTCATTTTTATTGATGTTGTCCTGTTACCCAAAGACACAGAAAGTTCTTGAAATTCACTGATGGCAATGTAGGGTAGAACTTAACACAATCAATTTTGGTTCCAGATAGTCTGGGCTTAAACCTTGAACATATTCCTCCTAACTGTGTGAATTTAAGTAAGTAAACTAATGTTCTAAGTCTTCTCATCTTATATAATAGCATTACCTGTCTCATGGGGTTCTTATAACAATTAGCTTATAAAGTGTCTGGCATATCCCAAACTCAATAATCTTTACTGTTTTTGCTTCTGAATTATTCTAGAATAACTTAAATCAGTATAATTTGAATGCTTCATATATTTTATTGTAGTTAAATTACTTGAAAACTAATAAATATGGGAATACAAAATTTAGAAAAATAATAAGAATGATTACATTTTCAATAATGGTGTTAATTATGACAGTATCACTATCAGTGATTTAAAGAAAGCTGCATTCATGCATCTTCAAAAATACTATGCCAATGACTAGGTAGTCATTGAAATAAATTGTAAAGAGAATGATTCTGAGAATCAGGCTATCTGGCTGGTGGCCTCAGCTTTAAATTTTAAAACTTTAATTAAAAATTTATTGAGGAAGAGTGGAAAAGATGTTAGCTCAGGGCTAATCTTCCTCAAGCAAAAAAAAAGAAAGAGGAAGATTGGCAATGGATTTTAGCTCAGAGAGAATTTTCCTCGCCAAAAAAGAGAATATATTATGAATCAATATGACTCAAAGCACTTTTATTTCTATTAACTCATTAAACTCTCATAAGAAGGTTTTGAGAGCAGGTCTTTCACTGATATAAAATTGGGATAATGTCCATAAAATTACTTCTAAACTTATTTGGCCAATATTTGTTTTTGTGTGCATGTAATTGCAGCATTCATCCATTACACAAAAACGGCTACAGTGTGGACTACGTAGCTATTCATTAGGTTCTATTAGGGTGTTTTGTCTTTACTAAGTCTTATTTTTCTAATTTGTAAGAGAACAATTTTGAAATCTCATGATAACTAACTAATTAGTTACATTGTCATTTTTCTATTTTCTAAATAGGGACACCATTGGCCCCAGCCTGCAATGGGGGGTGTCTCTATCTCAGAGGAGATTATAGTTTGGTGTGGTTGAATTTCCAAGACTCTAAGATGGAGGGAGAAGGAGCTATCTGGGCAGCATGACCAGCTACCACCATATGTAGTAAAAGGATCTAGTATAGAATGGTTCTGTGGTAAACATGGGCATCTGGCAGGTAGCACAGGAATTCAAGGTCAGAATATGTGATCGAAACTTCCCGTTACCTTTGTCTTGATTTGACCCACCAAACCAGGGAAATTGCAGGGCTCTTATAAGGTGGTGATTATTCCCAGTTAGTGAAAGAAACATGTCAGTGCCACAGCTTATCCTGGCAGACCTACATACAGAGATAGCAAACTGTTCAGAAGTTTAGAACTCTTTCAATGTGGGAGTAATTAACAGGGTCAAGATGTATTGAGAAAGAGGGGTTGTCATCTTGAAACTCACACATACTCACGCACAGATACACACACACACATGAAGTCACTAAAAGGATTGAAAGGGCAGTTGAACAGCTGCAGCCGCTAGTAAATGACCTCTGATGTTTGTTGCTATACTTGAACAGTATCCTCATGATTATAAACTCCCAAGTTGTGTTATAAGACGTAACAAGAAAAGGCATATTATCAACTTAGGTATATGAATAACTCAATCCTTATCTGAGACCCAATCAGAATATTAATTTAAAAAGGTAGAAACAATGTTTTATGTCAATTATGTGCAAAAAAACCTGTAAAAAAGGTCAAATAAATCTATCAGAGAAATGAGTTGATAGATCAAAATTTAAGCATGTTCACTGTAAAAAAAAAAATTGTGATTTTTTTAAACTCTTCAGAAAAAGCTGTGAAACAAATATTCCTGAGTAGGTAGTTTTGGATACGCTTCACATTGAGAATGATACATGAAATAAATTACTTGTGGATGATTAAACTACATTGCCAGTTTTTTTAAGACTGCACATATCTACATCAAATGTTTATTTACTCTGAGAATATGTTACTTTGTCTTTCAGCTTCAACAGAGCTTTCTTCACTTCTTTGTTCCTCAGGGTGTACACCACAGGGTTTAGAAGGGGTGTCAGCACAGTGTAGAAAATGGTCACAACTCCATCCACAGCATTCTTGGAGCCTGGCCTCAGGTAAATGAAAACACCAGGGCCAAAGAAACAAAGGACAACAATGCAGTGGGAGGTGCAGGTCTGAAAGGCTCTGTGTCTCCCTTCTGAGGTGCGGATCTTAAAGATGGAACAGACAATGGACACATACGACAGCACTATCAGGAGAAAGCAGCTGGAGGCCACTACCCCGATATTGAAAAAGATCACCATCTCAATGGCAGAAGTGTCTGCACAGGCAAGTTTGAGGATGGCTGGTGCATCACAAATGTAATGCTGGATCTGTTGGGGCCCACAGTAGGGCAAACGGAACGTCAGTATGGTCTGGACAGCAGAGTGCAGAGAACGGGTTAGCCACGTGGTTGTGGCCAGCAGGGCACACATTCTCCCACTCATCATGCTGCTGTACCTGAGTGGGTAACTGATGGCCAGGTAGCGGTCATAGGACATGACTGTGTAGAGGAAACACTCGGTGATCCCCAGGAAGTGGAAGGAGTAGAGCTGGGCCATACAGCTGTGGAAGGAGATAGTCTTGCCGCCTGGGGAGACCAAGGTCATCAGCATTTTGGGCACAGTGACTGTGGAGAACCACATGTCAATGAAGGACAGATTGGCCAGGAAGTAGTACATGGGGGTGTGGAGGTGGGAATCCATACTGATCACCAGTAGGATGAGGAGGTTCCCCACCACGGTGAGTAAGTAAATCACCAAGAAGATTCCAAAGAGAGGGGTGTCCAGTGCAGGTGCATGGGGAAAGCCCATGAGGATGAATGTTGTCATGAGGCTCACGTTTGTCGTTTCTCCACACTTTTGGTACCTCTCCCTGTGGGAATATAAAGAACATTCAGGATTTATGTAAAAAGGGAGAACCCATTCTCTGCGTAGCAACTGCATCATCCATGGCAGATAATTCTGGAGTTATGCTCAACTTTGCTTACTGCAAAGCTTCTTTTATAAAGGTGATGGCATGATTTCATCATCTGCCTCTCTCTATGTCTCATATACACACACAAAATAGAGGCAAACACAGATATATGCAAAAAGAAGTAGGAGAAATCCATGGCATTAATTTCTACTGATTTCTACTGATACCATAAATTACTTTACATTTAGCAGCGTAAAGCAATTCAATTTTACTATCGCGCAATCTTTTCAGTCAGGTCAGTTGGGTCCTTTGCTCAGTCTCTTCAAGATAAAATCAAGGTCTCAGGTGGGTCTGTAATCTCATCTGAGGCTCAGAATCCTCTTCCAAGTTTATTAAGGCTTTTGGCAAAATACATTTCCTTGCAGCTTTAGGACTCAAGTCCCTGTTTTCTTGGTGGCTGTTGCCAGGGAGCATCTGAAGTCACCCTTATGTCCTAAACACCTGACCATCTGGCAACATTGCAGCTTCCTTCTTCCAAGCCAGCAGGAGAATCTCTCTCCAGTTTGCTGGGCAAAAAGGAAATGCAACGTAATGTAAGTGAGAGAGTCATATCCCACCATATTCACAGGTCCCACCTTCACTCTAAGGGAGGCTATTTAACAAGGAGCATACACCAGGGGGAAGGAATCTTGGGAACTCTTTTAAACTCTGTTTTCTCTCCAAAAGTTATTGGGAAATGTAAAGAATCAAGAATTTAATTGTTGCTAGCAGTGAGCATTTCAAAAGTCTACAGTAAGCCTAAATCTTTCTCTTGTGTCCTCATATACAATTTGGCAGTAATAACATCTACCTAACTAAGAAGTTGTAAATATTAAGTGAGATACTGCAGGTAAAGTACTTAATACAGTGCCTGACATGTAATAACTGCTCCATAAATGATAGTGAATCAGGGGGCCGGCCCGGTGGTGCAGTGGTTAAGTTTGCACGTTCAGCTTTTCAGCGGCCCGGAGTTCGCCGGTTTGCATCCCGGGTGCGGACATGGCACTGCTTGGTAAGCCATACTGTGGTAGGCGTCCCACATATAAAGTAGAGGAAGACGGGCACGGATGTTAGCTCAGGGCCAGGCTTCCTCAGCAAAATGAGGAGGACTGGCAGTAGTTAGCTCAGGGCTAGTCTTCCTCAAAAAAAAAAAAAATGGAGCAAAAAAAAAGATAGTGAATCATGTAACTCTGTTCCTTATATTATAGAATTGCCATATATAGAGAGAGAGAGAGAGAGAGACAGAGAGAGACAGAGAGAGATTGACAATAAATAATAAAAATAAAAGTCTCTTTGTGCTATAGAGACTTCTCAATTTCAAAGTTAGATCTTTGAGGAAGAATCATCTCTGGTATTGGTACTGGTACTAATGCCTCAGTACCACCACCACCTGCTTATAAAGAGACTTCTTTAGCTTCAATCAGAGCAAGCTAGAACATCAACTCCATAATAGGATAACTGCAATCTCCCGTATGATTCAGAATATGCAAAGCCTTTTACACTGCTAGCCTCACACTTCTCTTACACTAAAACATCCTTTATGAGGCTCTAAGAATATAAAGTTCACATTTGTTCTCCGAACCACAACCGATTGTGTAGGGGCTGGTTTTCTAATATACATCCTTCAATCATAGATATCTAAATATTTTCTAATATCGGCTTTGTTAGAGAAAATATCCCTCCCCCATCTTCTATTCCTCTTACTCATAAATCCAGGCAATTCCCTCATAAGAGAAGACAATTTCATCAAGTATATGGTTCTTATTTAAAGCCTACTACCTGAGACTGGAACAATGGGACCAATGCAAGAGGAAAGGACCTATATTGGCTCTATGTCAAGAAAAGTTGGAATTCCATACAGTGAAAAGTGAGGCAGAAATGACGTTATTGATTTAATCTAAAATACTATTGAGTTCTGGATTGTTATTAATTCTTCTATGAGAGAAGACTCTGAAACTGGCTGACCAATATGAGACAAATGAGGATCTCTGCTCTTAGCAAAGCCCAGACAAAATTTATCCTATCTCAAGGCAATGTGGCTTAAGCTGTATTAAAACTATATTTTTCAAATAAGAGAATAAATAGCAGAGACAGGATTATCCTAATCACCTACATGAATATCAAAACTCAAGAAATGTAGCAAATGTATCTTTGAAATTTCTCCTGTATTAGTGTGATCTCATCACCAGAATAATCTCACATTCAGATTAGATGAAATATGAAATTTTTCATCAGGTGAATTACAAGGTAACCTGAGACTTAAGTCAGGAGATTCAGTCAAAGGTGCCAATGTTTGATTTGTTTGTCCATGCTGTAGCAACTTAGTTCCCATTTGTAGGCCCTCAATTACTAATTGTATGTATATATGGAAGGAGAGAGACTAGATAACCAAATTTAGAAAGAAGGCTAACAATTGCCAAATATCTTAACACTGAGTGGATATTTAAGGAGGAAAGCAGAGGGAAATAAGAGAAATCTACCTTTCTTAGAATTCACCTTACCGTATGTGATTCATTTCAGTAGTGTAACTCATCTGGTTTATTTCCCCTAAATTTTTCACTTTTTACATGCTATGATGAGGCTGTCGTTTGCAAGTTATTATCCAAAGGACAGACACACCTATGATTCCTTGGTGAGAAAGAGTGGTTCATATCTACACAGGGACCCAACTAGTTGAAGTACAGGGAATGGAAACTAACATGGCTGGATGGGTAGGAGCCTGACTTGATTTAGTGTCTCCAGAGATAGGATTACTCTTGAGTCTTCAGGTCCCTTGAGGAGCAGAAAAACTACAGGAAAAGACTAATGAAAGGTTTTTAGTAATCATGCATATATTTTCCCACGTGTTTGTTATTTGAACCCTCCTGAGAAGAATTGATGTCTTTCTGGAACTAATACATATAACTAAGAGGAAAGGAGGAGTCAGTTACGCTTTTTTTATGACCAGTGACACAGATAGACTCACAACTACTTACTCTCAACTTGAAGTTGTCCAGAATCCATAAATGGTCATCACCTGCTTGCACTGTCCATCTCAACAGTACTCTCTCTTTTAAAGAGGGTTTAAAACATTTAAATTTCCAAACATTTTTTATGCTGTATTGTAGATATAACTATGGTAGTATTTATGACATTGATTTAGGTAAATATATTTTAAAGAAAACAAACAAAAAAAGGCTAATTATAAAAACTAAAACATTGAACTAAATTGATTGTATTTTAAAATATAAATTTTGCAGCTAATTTTATTTGATCATATGTAATAATGCTAGACCTTAATAATCAGATTATAAGTAGAGAAAACAAAGCAGTTGGGACCTTAAACCGATTTCCTAAACACCGTTTCAGTTGACGAAGTAATTACCACTATACTCTCTAATTATGTAGAATGTAATAATATCCTTATTTAAAATCTAAAGTAAAATTAATTCCAGATGAAGTAAATATTTAAATAAAGGAGAAAAATCTCAAAATACTAAAATATTATCAAAGTAAAACCTGGTAACTTGGGTGTAGAGAAAACTTTCATCATCACTTTTGATATCTGGTATTGTGAATCTTCTAGTTTTTATTTCTTCAAGATTATCTTGGCTATTTGGGGGTCCCAATCCATTTCAATATACACGTTAGGATCCATATGTCCATATCTACAGAATAAAATCCTGGCATTTTATTTATAATTGCATCGAATCTATAAACAATTTGAGAATTAAAATCTTTAAAATATTGAGCCTTTTAACCCATGAGCACATTATAATCCTCCATTTCTTCAGCAACTTTTAGATATCTCTCAAAAATGTTTTGCAATTTCTATTGTTATGGCGTTACAAATCTTTGCTTACATTTTTATCCAGATCAGGGTTTCTCAACCTCAGAACCATTGATATTTTTGGCAAGACAAGTCTTGCGGGAGCTTGCTGTGCTTTGTGAGATGTTTAGCAGCATCCCTGACCTCCAGGCACTAGACGTCAGTACCTGTGACATAAACAATTTCTCCAGACATGGCCAAATGACAGTTGAGAGACACGGATCTAGATATTTAATAGATATTTGAGTTTTTATTTTGAATCTAAACGTGTATAAATCTAAAAGTTCATAGGCCATTTTTACATGGAGTTTCAGATCATACATTCTCATTGCTATACAGCAATCCACTGTGTGAATATAACATAATTTATTTTTAATTCAACTTTTGATAGGCATTTGAATAATTTCCAATTTTTGCCTATCAAAATTAGTGCTGCGCCCCTACGTTCATTGCAGCAATTATCCACAACAGCCCAGACTGGGAAACAACCTAAGTGCCCATCAATAGATGAATGGATAAAGAATATATGGTATATACATGCGATGAAATACTACTTAGCCATAAAAATAGAGGAAATCTTGCCATTAATGACAACTTGGATGAAATTGAGGGTATTTTGCTAAGTGAAATAAATCAGACAGAGAAAGACAAATACCTTATGATTCCACTCATATGTGTAAGATAAAGAAACAAACACATAGATACAGAGAACAAATTGCTGGTTACAAGGAAGGGTTGCAAAAGGGGTAAAGGGGCACATGTGTATGGCAATGGATGGCAACTAGACTTTTGGTGGGGAACACAATATAGTCTATACAGAGGGTGAAATATGATGTATATCTGAAATTTATACAATTTTATAAATCAGTGTTACCTCAATAAAAAATTTAAAATCAGTGCTGCAAAAAACTAGAGTACATGTTTGTATATACATAAACATATATTTGTATACACCATACATAAAAATGCTATATATATACATATATACATATATGGAATTTCCATTGGCAAATCTATATGTTACGTATTACGTGCTTTTCTTTTGGATACACATGTGTATACATACACACATACTTTTCTATATCAGAAGGCAGTCCCACTTAAAGGAAAAGTGTTTAAGTGAAATACAAATAAAATAAATGAATAAATAAGTATGCTAATAAAGATCCATGCCAGTCCACC